AGCATTTGGATGAGTATTACTCAAATTTTCTATAGTTGGTGCTACCATTTTACACGGACCACACCTACGAATAAGTGTAGATGAGATAAGAAAATAGAATAAAAAAGAGTAATTACCATGTTGCAAAGAAATCAACAAGTACTAATTTATCTCCTGCATGTTCTAATTCTTCTTTTAAACCACCATCGGACACTGCTTTCACAGGCATTTTAATATCTACGTATATTTATCTAGAAAATAAATCATAATTGCCCATTGATTAGAAAAAAAAACAATGATAACAAGTGACCTATTAAGAATGGAACACTTTGATTTTCTTTTTTTTTTGTTTTGTTGAAGGCAGTGACACAATTTCAAGACATTATTCTAAGTATATTCGATGGAGACTTGTTCACTCTACAAAACACTTGACTTTATTCTTCAAATAAGTTTTTCCTGTCGCAGAAAAATCGATAAGACTGCCAGCCACATAGCAATTGGATAGGGACTTCCAGAAAAAAATACAATTATTAAAACTATATTTAAATAACAATTCTGCCGATATTCGATTTATGCTGCAAAACACACCGTGAAACGATGTATCTCATGATTTTGTGTAATTTTAGAAAAAAGAACATCTGGAAGAACAATTTTTCAAGTAAAAACTTAGGAAACGACTCGAGCTACTCGATACACCTTTACACCTGATGATATAGTAATAAACCGTTCATCAAGCACACTAACTCTTCAAAACAGGAGTTTCAGAAACACATACACAACAAAATACTATCAGATTTTAATTTCAAGTTTTTTTTTCCACCTAAACAACATCATTAGGAACCTTGGCGGAGATCTTGGACACATCGGTTATAAAATTTTCATATATTGATGAGTACCAGCCTGCATTAATCATTAGAGATTCACAGAAAATAGCAGGAGATCACAGTTACGCAATAAGGCAGCTGTCAATTTTTCTAATTTTTCATCGATAAGGAAAACTTATTTAAAAAAATGAAGTTCATATTTTGTAGAGCGAAAAATTCTCTACCCGAATGAACTTACAATCGTGTCTTTCAAGAGTATTTCTGTTTTTCAAAAACGAAAAGTCAATGTGTTCCATTATTTATGAGCCATCCATTTATATGATGGAACTAATAAAAAATAACAATTTAAAATCGTCGCTGATAACCTAAGCCTTCACATTCAATAATAAATGCAGAATTTGATGTATTAGATGCAGAAGCTGCTGATGCTTCTGTTGTAGAAGAGTTCGATTGATCATTTCTGGTTTTTATTGATGATACTTCTGTAACTGTGAATTTCACCTTTTAAAAAATTTGAAGAAAATAATAAATACACATATTATTAAACTAACTTTAGTTAAAAGTTCAGCAACATAAATAGCTGTTTTAGTATGATCTGATAATGGACCACATCGAATTTTTGAATTACCTTTAGCAAGAGCCATTAAAATAATTAACTATAAAAAAGAACGAATAGATGAAACTTTTTTTCTAAATTAAAATTCAAATATGCAAACTTGATCTTGTAAATGTCGATCAACACATGCTTGACATGACAAATCATGAAGTAAATCTTCTGTTGCTTGTGTACCAACATCATAAGCTGGTACACCGCGTTTACCTAATGCACTAGCTGCAAGTATACAACCTGTTGTTGTTTCAGCTCCAACTCTATACAAAATATTAGTTTATAAATTATTTTGAAAAAAAAAATGGATATTTGTTTATTTTTATTACATGATACCAGTAGCTGTTCCAACAGCCATATTATCAGGTTCTTTAACAACTTCAATTTCTATTGGAATATCTTTTGAATATTGTTTATGTATTAATTTTTGAGCGGCTTCAGCCATTTCATGAGCAATCTAAATACATATATTATAAGATAGACCGATATTCTTTTCAAAAAAAAACGGTTCATTCATACACGTTTAGATAAATTTCCAGCAACAAAAGCTCGACCAAAAAATCTTTTGATTTGTCCGAATTCAGTTAAATCAACACCTGTTAATTGATCAATTGGATTTACAGTAATACGAACTTCACCTCCACCTTTTGGATAATAACCTCTAAAATATTATTATTTATGAATATTTATTTATTTTTTGATAGTTAATACTAACCGTCGAACTAAATTTATATCAAAAATGAAATTAAATCGTCTTGCCATTGGTTGAAAAACCTATTTTTAAGAAAAAAAAAAAAGATTTTTCTTATTTGATTATCATTTTGAAATATACCATTGAATAATAATCAATTTCTGGAGCAAATTCTGCATTTGTTCCTCCATGTAATCTCAAATGAGATGAATTATTAGCAAAAAGTAAACATGGGATAGCGGTTTGCATCATTAAGCATACACTCCTAATAAAAAAAAGAAACAATTTCTTTTTCAATAAGAAATTTTTATAGAATAATGTACCCAGCTGTTTTTGTATCAGCCATATAATTTCCACCTTTAATAGTTTTAGGTGTAAGAAAGATTTCTGTTGCACCAATATTTCCATTATGAAGTTTAGCTTCAGATAATTGAGCTAAAAGTTGTATGCCAGTAAGATGTTGTGGTCGTAATCCACCTTGTGATCGACCAGCTCGAATTTTTTCTACACAAATAGGAATTCCAAGTAGAACACTCAATGCTGTTGAGTTACGCAGTATTTGACCACCCTTGAATTATTAGAAACACTAGTTTTAGTATGTCTTTAAAGTTGTTCAATATCCAGTAAAAAAACAGTTCTACAGCAGTTTGATTGTTAGTTTTAGGTACGAATAGCATTTTAACTTTAAAGTTAAAGCTGAAGTACAGATGTTTTTAATACTTGGGTTTTGTTCATAGTAATCATGTTGATCAGTTATCATTAGGGTGGATCACTTAACTCAACATAAAATGAGGTTTGAATGATTGAGCTAGTCAAATACTATTAAATTTCGAGTTTTTCATTGCTGCTATAGGGACGTAACATACAATTATTCAGGCCATATGAAACAAGGACCCATGATAACTCCCAGATCGACCCAAACTACACTATGTTTTGCCCTTACAATAGAGAAGAAAAGCCCTACTGAATGCTGATTGATTACCAAATTTTTTTTCTATCAATAATCGGATTCGAGGAAGGTGTTTCTCGCCTATTGTAAGGACAAAACATAATGTTATTCGATTCATCTGAAAATAGAATCCTCCGATAACTACCTGATCGACCCGAATAATACTATGTTCTGTGGATAAAATTGAGGAGAAAAGCCCTAAGTCATATTTAAAAAAGTAGACCATCCTTAATATGTATTTCAACTTTAACTTTTAAAGTTTAAAGTACCACTTTAACCTTAAGTTAAAGTCAACGTGCGATCCCTAGTTGTAGGTATTGTCCTATGAAATCAAACAATTTTACTTCGGCATCTACAACTACGACACTGAGGAAACTTCGAAAAATTTTTTGACTAACATATCTATGTTAGCGTCCGATGTCATATCCGTCTAGGTAGAGAACATTGTGTCCAAAGTTTTCGGATTCGATTCATAGAAGAATTGTAGACCAGACTCGATCCAACTCGAAGAGCTGTATGCCTAAGCCAATCTAGAATTTCACTTTGGATACATTGAATGTGGGATTCAACATTGAATAGACATTCACTCAAGCCATTTTCGCATTGATCAGTTACAATATGTTCAACCGAAGATTCTCCTAAAAATGTTAGGCGATTTTCAGATTAGTCGAAGTCGATGATGGATTGAGCGATTAATACAGCCAATCTCAAATGAGGATGTGAGAGTGGAGCAAAGAGAACAAGTACATGCACATCCGTAGTCTTCGTCGATTTTGTTGAAAAAAAATTCTCGTGTTCCATGATTAATTTTTGCTTTGATGTAATATGTTAGCCAATTTTAGATTGACCGTATTGGAACTGATAAATCGGAGAAAAGCTAGAGGTTCATGTCCGTCTAAAGTCGGATCTCAAATTGGACGCTAATATATACCTTGTTTTTGTGCTACTTATGAATGAGAATGACCCTCCGATGGTTTTTTTTCCTAGAAACTTATTTGTGAAGTATATTTTTGTTCATTAATTAACATATGAAGTAGAAACTTGCTACCACATAAAAGTAAAGAAACTTGACTGTTTTGTTGATATAATAACAACTCTTCATGAGTATTCCTACTTGTAAGAGTATTTTCTTTTTGCATGGCTCCGACTCCGATTCAAAGCTCTAGTTGTAGGAGAATTCGAAAAGAAAACACTGATTTTGTATGTATAATTCTCAGCTTTTGATAAATACAAAAAAGTGATGATATTATTTTTCATTTCTGATAGGATTTCTTTTTTTGTTGATCATTATTCTTGGAATCTGTTCCATTATTTAAAAAAAATAGTTTACACGTCCTAATCTTAAAAATATAAACTATATTTGCTTCGAAAATTTATTCATAATAAATTCAGAGAAAGCTCAGGATGATGTCAATTGTTAAGCTTATAAAAATGAAAATTTTCATATTTCATTTTCCTATCGGTTACCAAAAGTTTTTCCATTCATAATAATTCATATAATACTTACTCCTTCTAGATATGATCCATCTATTGTTATTATATTCGATAATGAATCATTCTGCTCAGCCATAGTTGTTAATCTAAAATATCAAGATAAAAGGAAATGCTCCTTCTCTTTATAGAAAAACAAAATGTTTAAACTTTTGTATCGATCGATAAAATATATTGCTTCTATTCGAATGAATAGACCGTGTTAATAATACTTTTAAATAGCCCATAAAAAAATTTCATCATGATGAATCTAAAAATATTGCACAAGTATGATTCATAAAGGTAACAATCATTTATTTATGCTTGTCTAAGGCATATTTTTTATTTGTAGAGAAAGAAAAAAAGAATGAAATACAAAAAAGAAAAGTCAATAGGAGCTCCGTTAGTGTAAAAGAAATGAATAGATTTTTATGTTTCTTTTTCTTGTATACATAGAACAGATAAATGTTTAACAAAAGATTAAGAACCGCGTCGAATAGCAAGTGTAGCATTTGTTAATTTAGCTTCACTTATTGTTTTTGATTCATCTTCATGTTTTATTTTTGTTGACGGTGGTTCAATAAATTGAAATAGATTCGATTGAAGTGAAGGTACATTTTCATTAAGAAATTTACGTACATCAGCTAATGTTCGATTAAGATCGATTACAATACGTATTGGTGTTGATACATCAGGTAAACGAAGACGTATGGTAGTTGATGATGAAGATGATTTCAATTGTTGTTCAGCAAGTTTTTCTAAATCACTTGAATCAGTGGGTGCTGATGTTCTACTAGTAGTTGTCGTCATAGACGATTGAAATGGAGAATCTCGTGTAGTTTTTGATGGACTAACAACTGTAGGTGCTGGTGAGCCAAGCATATAACCAGCACCTCCAAATGGTTTAAATTGTGGTGCTACTGGTTTATATTCTTCCTCTCGATGATCTTCAAGACGTACCTAGAAAAAAAAACAAAGAATATTTTTATGAAATGACCAAATAATTATTTCTCTAGTTGTATGATTTACTTCAATTTGTCGTCCACCTGTAGTTAAATTTCTAAGTTCAGGTGGTACTTCACCACGTTTAATGTAGCTCATAAATTCTTTATTATCTTCAAATTTACGTAATTCACCATCACCTACAGTAAAACCATTTGAGAAGAAACGAAGTGGAATTTGTTCAGCTTGATTCGAAGCCGCTGGTGCTGTCGCATCGAATCTTGATTGACCCAATGAACGTGAAGGTGTAGTTTCATCACCTAAAGAAGTATCAAGTCAAAATCAAAAAGTAAAATAAACTAGAGTTGCAACCGGTAGGTTCGACAGGAGTTATTTTTCATATTTCTAATTCTCTAAAGAGTCAAATTCAACCGCTCGATTAATCATAACTGCAGTATCTCTAAACTACTACAGCAATTACACAAGACTTTCGTTTTACTATTATAGAGCTTTTGTAAAAGATAATTGTTAATAAGTTTTGAAGTATATAGTGAGAGATTGGAATTAGTTTTGGCCAACAGAACTCAAAGATTGCGAAGAACATGCTGTTATTCTTTTAACCTACAGATAAACTGTAACATAAATGTCGATATCTCTTTCATGATCTGTCATATAAATGATGAGGCTTTCTACAATAGTTAAAGTAGCTCCATTTTATCTAATATTTTAATTCTATAAGGATTGCATGGAAACCCCATTTCCACTCTTGACAGCTATTGGGGAATAGAAAATTTCACAGAATTACAAATTCTATGTTATTTTTGTACACTAATTTTAAATGTTGATCACACATAGAAATTATGAATCAAATAGACTTACGAGGGAGCATTTCTATGTGTGAAATCACTTTTGAATCAAGACTATGTACATCATGTAGGTTTTAATAAGGTATGGATATCGTGAAAAAAACTCGGATTAATAGCTCATAACGGTCGAGATACTGTATCTTTTATCAGAATGCTATGTTCTTATTCCCCTTCGAGAACACCAAGAAATTTAAGTTCCAAATATCTACTTGAAATTTGACACAGAAATAGGTCTTAACGAGAATGGCTCACTATTAGAGTTTTAGGTTTTTCAATCACGTCTATTCTGCAAAAAAAAACATCGGAATTTGCCGTTGAATATGAGCGACACGAAAAACATGCTTTTATTATAGCCATATCTTGTGATATCAGCAATCAAAAGATTTGAAACTTTTACTATCAACCATTTCCATTAAGGCCAGTCTCTCTATACAAAGTATAAAGTTGAAATTCGCAACTTAGTTTTCATGAGAGAATCAAAGCATTTTGCTAAAAAAAATACACTATCTTCGCAGTAATAAGCTACTAACCCCAACTCATTTCAAAGTATTCATATATCAGAGGAACGTATATGATGCTCATACTTCCGATTCAAAACTAACTTGACACTCAGAAACGTTGTCTCGTTAAAAGAAATATTCTAATGCATGTTCTCTAACAGAAACAATCATTGATATTGGTAGAAATAATATGATTTAGAAATAAATAACATGCAAAAACCGGAAAAGATCTTTACGAGTCGGTAAGAAATCCTCTTTCAAACCGAACCTGCCTTTTACCGTTACCGGTTACAACAATGAAATACACTATCTAACCTAAAGTATATCCAACACCGGTAAATGGTTTTTCTTTTTTTGTTTGTGATGATGATCCATGTTCATCGTCATCAGCTTCAATAGCACCTTGTTTACGAGCTGCTTCAAATATTTTAGTTACTTTCTTATCCATATCTTTAGGTTTTGGTGGTCCAAGTATTTGTTGACCACTTCGTTCGGAACCACCAGCATAAAAAGCTTGACCTAGAAAAAAAATTCTTTTTCTTTTTTAACCAATAAAGAATATTAATCAATAACCTTCTTCATCAGAACTTTCTCCTTCTTTATGTAAACTACCAATAGTTCCAAATTTTGATGATGATGCTGATGAACTTTTACTTTTATCATCTTTGGATACTGCTGATGTTGATTTTGTTGCAGTTGCACTAGCTCGAAGACTTTCATCAATAGCATTTTGTATTGGAGCTTCATCATCTGATTCATAACCACCTGTTCCGCCGGATGCTATTTCTCCTATTGACAAAAAAACACGATCACATACATCGTATATGTTACCATGACAAACAATTAAAAAAACAAAGAGTTACGAACCAGAAGCACCTTGGTTAATATTTGTATTAGTCGAAGCAGTGGGTCTACTGATATGAGAACCACCATCATCATAGAAAATTTCCATAGCAGTTTGTGTATTCCATTGTGCAGCCTCTAAATAACGTGTTGCTTCTTCGTTCGAACATTGTGTAACAGCAATAAAATTGTTGAGAATTTCAGTTTTATTTGTGGGTTCCATCTGAAAATCAAGTAAAACACTGTTTTGATTTTTTGATATCGATCACACTAAACTTATATTACTAATCAAACACTAGAAGGTTCTCTTCCTTTTGTTTTTTCTTTTAATTATGGAAAAAATGCAAACACAATGATTCATCCTCCATTTGACGATTGGTTGCAATCTACAGCTAATCTCAAATGAGTTTAAACTTTCTTTGTATAGAATAAATTAATATTTTGAAAATCAAATAAAGACTTAAATAATTAAAATATAAATTATGAAATATCTTATTTAAATTTATTAAAGACGTTTTTTTTTTCATTGGTTAATTCTTCTGTATATCAATCATTATTATTGGTAAACAAGAGAGTAGAATTGAGAGAGAGAAAGACAGTGAGTTTACGTTTTAGCTGTCTTTATTTTCCCATTAAGAGGAAAATTTTAATTCTCATCTAAAATAATTCAAATTGTTTATATTTGCTTATAATTATCCAATTAGTTTATTGTGATAAACAATAGAAATAATAATAGATATAGCGTAGAAATACTTCAAAACGTTCAATACAACATCGAATTACGAGCTTACAGACTTGTGTTTGCGTCTGTGCTCGAGTGAAGTAGGTTGCTATTTATCTTTTTTTTTTTCATATCTATATACTACATTTCTCTTTTTTCTATAGATCAATATGAAGGTAGACGACATTGGAAAATATTATTCAAAATAAAAACATATTTTTTCTTTTTCATTTCTTATCTAGCGCACATTTTCAGGTGATGAATTTGATACAAATGCTGATGGTCTTGGCAACTCCAACTCCCAAATGACAGACATTGCTAAAAAAGTAAATTATTTTTCATAGAAAAAATTAATTTTGTTGCATTGTTTTTGTTTTGAAATTAGAGTCGTTCTGAACCAGCATTACCTTCTCGTGTTGTTCATTTACGAAATATAGAAGCCAGTGATCTTGAAGTTGTTCAACTTGGTCTTCCATTCGGTCGTGTAACAAATTTTTTAAATTTACGTAAAAAAGCACAGGTATTTAAAATAATAATAAAAAAAAAAGATTGCTTTATTTTATGTTTTCATAATTAATTATTTATTAAAGGCTTTTCTTGAATTTGATGCAACGGATTCAGCAAAACAAATGGTTGATTATTTTACATCAATGCCAGCTATGCTGAATGGTCGACAAGTATTTGCACAATTTTCAAATCATGGTGAACTTCGTACAGATCCAACCAATCGTACAAATCAACAAGCACATGTTGCTTTAGTACAAGCTACTGATCTTTATGAAACAGCACAAAAAGGTGGACCAAATTGTGTATTGCGTGTTAGCATTATGAATATGTTATTTCCTGTTACTATTGATGTATTGTATCAGGTAATTGAAAAATAATGTGAATAGTGAAAAAGTCAAGAGGAACTCATTTTCTCCTCCTACATTCTAAAAGAAAAATATACGTCGTTTTCGGTTTCAAACATAGTCTGACAAACGAATTTCTTCAGATGTCAAATCGCTTTTCGATTCAAGATGATATTTATTTCATGAGTAATAGAAAACTCTAGAATGGTTTTGTTGTCCGGGCCTTCATTCTTGACATATCGAAAACTTTACTGAATTTTGCGTCCTCTCAACATTGTGCAACTAGTATTTGCTTTTTGGAGATGTAAATATATAAGCTAAATTTACTTTTACACATCAGAGATTTTTGAATACCTTAGGATGAAGGATACTAGAAAAGTTACAACTTACACAATGAACTAATCTCACTAAGACCTTTGTTTGTACAAAATTTGAAGTCAAAACTTGATTTTCTACATCACTTGAGGGAGTCATAGATTTTTGTTGAGAAAGTCCAGTAAAGTTGCGAAAATGAACACTCAAGAAACAGAAGCCAATATAGACTTTTCTATTACGCATGAAATGAGCATGATCTCGTTTAAAACGGTTTGATACTTGAAGAAGTTCTCTTATGAACTTTATCACTAAATGAAAACTATTTTTTATTAATATTTTTGTTTAGATCTTTAGTAAATTTGGTACAGTACTTAAAATTATTACATTTACAAAAAATGGTAAAATATAAAAATAGATTTGGTTTTGTTTATTCTAATATTTCGAATATTTAGATAAATTTCAAGCATTAATTCAATCAAAAGATCCAACTGGAGCCGCACAAGCAAAACTAGTAAGAATGTTTCGAATAAAGATAAAGTCCATGTTAATTATAAGAAATTGAAGAGTTAGTATACTTATAAGAGCGTTGTCAATGTCATATTTTGAAAATAAGTAGTGACTGATAAAATTGGATTAAGTGGAAGACATTGAAGCTGACAAGTGTCTGAGATTAAATTATAGAGTATGAAATGAGTAGTTAAGAATGACATTAATAGATCTATAAAAAAGATTAAAGCTTAATTTCAAACATCTATCAAATCAGATTCAGATTTATCATCTATTAAAAATAACAGAAGTAAATTTTAAAAATGTTTTGTTTTGTTTTTTCCTTAGCAATTACACGGACAAAATATTTATAATGGTTGTTGTACAGTAAGTAAAAATACAAATCAGATAAAATGTGTTTAATCAAAAAAACAAAATTGATTATAGCTTCAAATTGAATATTCAAAACTTCATTCGCTTACAGTTAAATTTAATAATGATAAAAGTCGAGATTATACTAATCCGACATTACCATCAGGTGAAGGACCTATATCACAACAACAAGAACTAGGCATGTTGATATTCTTTGAATATTTTAGCTATCGAAATTATCAATTTGTTTTTGTTTTAGAACGAATGCATTCAAATCCTAATCTTCTTCCATTACAACGATCAAGTTCTAATGAAGATTATCGTTATGGTACAGAGATTTGTTTTCTTATTGTTTCTTATCAATTGGATTTAAATAATTTCCTAATTTCAGATTATTATACGGCATCAACTCGTGGTAGACCTCCATCAGCTACAGGAACACCTAGCTATGAAATGCAAGGTATAACAAAAAAAACTAAATTTTTTTCAAAAAATAATAATTTTGTGAAACATGATCTAAAACGAGTGTTGATGTATAGAAGTAAGAACTGGAACTTATCACTGACAGACGTTATTGATAGAAGATTGAATACTGTATATCAACAGCATCTCGTTCTAATGTATGAAACACTTCCTTATCGCATTTCTGAGAGATTCAGTAAAGGAATAATGAAGAAATATTTTCCAAAATAGATAGAAAAAAGCAATTTCCTGATACTAGGAACGATAGTTATGTTAGGTTTCATATGTTATTCCTACGGGAATTCCACTAAAAGCTATTTTTCTTCAAACAGGTGGTAATCATTTAATGAGTCCATTACAAGCAACATCAGCTGCATATAATCCAATGACTGGTGCAGCGCCTCCTCCATATGGTCATCCATATGGTTCAACTCATCAAGCTCCACCTATGCATACGTTGCCACCAAGTCATGCAGCAGCTGCTGTACATATGCAGGCTGTTCATCATCAAGCTCAACAACAACATAATCTATCGGTACAACAAAATCCACATATGATGCCTGTTCAGAATGGACCAGTTATACTTGTATCTAATCTCAATGAAGACGTAAGTTTTACAAATAGAAATATATATATATATTTTGAATTTTAGTTTTCTTGAATGATAAGATAGAAAAATCTTTCATTTTTGATCTTTTAACTAATCTATCTTATTATAATTTTTTTTTTGAAATTCTTTCTATTCGTTTCTTCTTTATTTTTTCTTTATTTTCCTCGTCTGGACGATTAGATGACGACTCCAGAGTCTTTATTCACACTATTCGGTATGTTTTATCTTCTCTTTCTTTTCATACTTTATATATATTATGTTTTATTGTTTTTTTTTCTTATGATAAGAAACAAGCTAGCTTTTAATATTTTCATTTCTCTATTTTCACATTCTTCAAACAATATCTCATGTCTCCTAAGTGATTGACACGAGTCTATGGCGATTATTAAAAAAAAGAATAATATACAAGGTGAAATATTCAAAGAGAATAATAGAAAGAAAAACCAAAGAAACTGATCACAGTTGTAGATAGTAGAAAATAAGCAAGTCTGAGACTAGAAAAAATAAGTTGTATCTTTTCCTTAGAATACGTGTGTTAACATACAATTGAAAGATAAACATTAATATAGATAGCGGAGCTAGAAGGCTTGGTTAGGCTCAAAAACTTGTTGCTCTTTTCATCAGATTGATAAATTTGAGCAGCGTATCACACTTTTGATACAAACATGAATATTTTTTGCCAACTAATAATATTATTTTTTTAGTCAAACAGATTTCGAATATGTTGCTAAGAAAATATTGACTTATATACATTGGTCAGTAGTTGCCGTGAAGATCCTTTGTTAAAAGTAATAAGGAACTGTGTGAAAAACTAAGCCAGATTAAATAGAATTTGCTAAACTTTTCTTTTCTCTTCGGTGACTAACGAGATAGCTTCTTCAGATGTTCTCTTCTGATTTCAATGACTTTTTTTTATCTATAAATACTATCTTGTGTTTTAATAAAGGCTCTAAAACGGTTTAGATTTCCATCGAGATTAAATCGAGATATCGAATTTTTGAATATGTCTATTTTGTGGATCCTAGATTTTCAGAAAAGATTTCTATGAGAACACTATGTAGTATCTATAGGCAAAGAATCATTGAAATCGGAAGGGAACATCTGAAGAATATCTCCTCTTAAGGATATATAGCTACTAAACGTTTATTTCACAGTACATTGTCTTCTTTGTTTCTTTTTTTTTTGTGAATATTTCTGCTTCGCTATCAAACTTTTTCTACCAGTAAAATAGATCAGACATTCTTCTTTCGAAAGTTGCAGAAACATTCGCATCTTTCTTCAAATACACATCTTTTCATGCTAGTTTGCGAATCAATGATATACTAAAAGTGATCTTTTCTCATGTTTAACTTCCAGATGCAAATCTTATGAAAAAAAAATATTGAGCCTACACTAGAATTAAAAAGTTCTGCTATTTATAAATGTCAGCAATCTAATCTGTAGCTTGATTTGCACTATAGAACGAGCATTACTATGATAAAATCACAATAGGTTGGAAATACTCATTATTGGTTGATGTAGGAAAGAAAAAAGGTCTATCAACTTTCTAATACTGTCTTTGATGACATAGAATTGCCAATAAACGTGGATTTCTATGTCAAAAAAAAGTAGATGTCTTTTACTACACAGATTATCACATTTTTGAAATGTACACTACAACCTCTCACATAGAGACTAGTATTTGACCATTAACATCACTTTTTTATCATAGGATATAAGAAAAATAAAGATAATATCATTATGTTTTTCAACAGGATTTTTTCTTATAATGCTTTCTATTATTCTCTAAACATTTGTCATTAATGTTATTTCTATTGTTAATTTCACCTTTGATATATTGTTTTTTTTCTAATCAAACTCGACATATATAAATATATAAAATAAAAGTATATTTTCAAATATTTATTATAAATCTACTCATAGGTGTTTATGGTGATGTGCATCGGGTAAAAATCTTATTTAATAAAAAAGATTCAGCCTTAATTCAATTTGCTACACCACAACAAGCAGCTGTTGGTAAAGTTTAAAAAAAAAAACTAAAAATAAACATTGATTTATTAAATTATTTTAGCTCATCAAAATCTTGATCATATAACAATGTTTGGTAAACAAATAAAAGTTTCATTTTCAAAACATCAATTTGTACAAATGCCGAAAGATGGTACTTCGGTACGAAACAAGAAAATAAATTGAATTCTTTTATACTTAAATTTTTGTCTTCTAGGATATGGGTTTAACTAAAGATTTTACAAATTCCCCATTACATCGATTTAAAAAACCAGGTTCAAAAAATTATAATAATATTTTTCCACCAGGAACTGTACTTCATTTATCAAATATACCGTATGTAAAATTATTTAATTTATTTTGTGGAAAAAAAGATTGAAAAAATATTTTAGAAATGAAACAAGTGAAGAAGAAATACGAAATATATTTTCTCAATATGGTAAAATAAAACGATTTAAATTTTTTGAAAAAGATCGTAAAATGGCTTTGATTGAAATGGAAACCATTGAAGAAGCTATTGTTGCTTTAATTGTAAGAATAAAAATTTAAAGAAAAAAAAAAGAAACTAAATTTCTTTAATATTTTTTGTCATGTTTAGAATACACATAATTATCGTTTAGCTGATTCAATGCATCTTCGAGTATCATTTTCAAAAAGCAAATTGTAAATATTCAATTATTGATTTGATTTTTACATTTGTTTTATACAAACTCAATTAAAAAGAAAACAAACGATAAAATCAAATCAAAAAAAAATATTCTTTTCATTGTTTTTTTATTCAAGTTTGTTTCGGATAACAACTTGCTTTTCTTTATCTATTCGTTGATTTGTTTTTGTTTTGTCCTTTTCACATGAACTAATCTGTATGGTTTGCTTTTTGTCTTTTGTTTTACTCAAGTTCTATTGTCTTCACTTGATAAAAAAGAAGATTTTCAAAACATGGATGGATCATGAAATAAACTAATCTAAATCTTCAAATAATAAATCATTTTCAAATTTTAGTTTTTCTTCGATTAGTCTCACTAAGGAGTCATTCATAAAGGACAAATCAGTTAGATCAAAAGCTCGCCGAACCTTAATTTAATACCCTCAATAAAATTTTCTAATCGGAATTGGCTAGTTAGCTCGAAGATATGAGATACTTTTTCCAGTTCATTGTATTCGATGACTAGTGCATCTTACACATTTTTTTGAGATAAATAGAACTTATCGAGTCCAAAAATTTCAGACATGAACTCTATCGAACTCGGAGCCCATCCGATGAGTTTTAATGAACAGTATGAAAACAACCTTCAGAAAAAGTCTGCTTGTTCAAATATACTTAACATTACATTTCCTATCAAAAAAATGCTCTTAAAAACAATCTTGAAAGTTTCATTCAAAGTTGTGTGTAAGAAAAGAAAAATATTGACAACAAGTGTTTAGACGTTCAGAAATGCTTGATTCTCCTCTCTTCTGCCTAATTTTGATGGGTTACTTCTTCTTTCCTTTTCCTAGGCGTCCTCTATGGATGATCTTCATTACTTTTTTCGAAAAACTAGCATTAAATAGAAGCTATTCATGAATAGTAGATTAAAAGTTTTTCACTTCGTTTATTCAATATTGTCTAGTTGCTTTAATTCAGACAAAAAGAACTGTTGAAACAGATCAGTTCGTATCAAAGAAATTTTTAAAACAGTTTTCAAGATCGAGACCAATGTGGAATTTTAATAGATGTAATAAATGTCACATCGGTGACTCAAAACTTTTGTGCTTATACTGTTAGATGAAAAGTTGTAGATCGTTGATGTAACATGTATCACACGTAACTAGGAAATGTTCCGAATCTTGAACACGTCATGAAAAAGTCGGCAAAGGTTTTCGATTAAAGCTGATTTTTCATCAGTTTTCACCAAACTAACACGATAGAGGCTGATCAGAAGTTTTACCCACGGATATAATCTTCTATTAACTAATAAATTTTTTAACTATAAGCAAATGAAAGATTCTGACGAAGAGTAGAATATGATGACTCAACCGTTGGTATTTAATTTTGAAAGCAACTTAAATTAGAATGAATATTTTATTATGACTGCATAAAGATGATGACTGAGTGAGAAATCTGACAAATAGAAAATTATAAAATTTAGTCTTGAATTCACTGAAAACAACATGCCTACTGTTAATATCAAAATTAGCATAATTTGAAAGACTACTTTCAATAGTGTATTTAATTCAATGAAAGTTTACATCAACTCGCGACCAACATTCATTTCGAGCAATCAATACAACACTAAGAAATATAGGAAAGTAAATATTTTTACTCAATGTTACGAAAAATAAATATCTGTGCAATCTGCTGATTCTTATTAATAATTCACGCAAAATATCAGTAGTTCTATATATTCATTATCAACCGGTTTTAATCTGGACATTTTTCAGAAGAGAATATTCTAACAATTAGTTTCTTTCTATGACTATTCAAAAAGTGCTTGAATATTTTAAATCCTTTTTTTTCTAAACAAGACAACAATTAATCAAATTTTTCATTCATTGTATTATCTGATCTTGAACCTAATCGTTCGGGTATATTAGTGAACATCGAATTTACAAATATTTCTAAACATATCAATGATTCAATAGCTCATAGGTGAAAAAGAATCTACTCTATAATAGTCTGTTGACAGATAAATTCTTTTATATAAAGTTTGTCTCTAATTTTGTTTTAATGTACTTACAGTGAGTACCAAAATTATTCAACAAGATTTATGTCCAGTTTTTTCAACTGCCGTAAACATTAGAAAGGATTCCAATAGTAATTTGGATGGAGCTAATGGTTTCCATGAAGAATTTATGGAAACAAAACTTATTATTTTCAAATTAGCAAAGATAGGGACTTCAGCAAATTAAAACCCTACTTTTTCAATATCTCGACCATGTACATATAATTTTGTTCAGACTACATAGAACAATAGGGTAAATCATCTTTTACACAAAGAGACATTGTCAAAGTCAGTGGAACTTTTTTTTAATAGAGATACAGCAATTTGATTGAAGTTCCAAAAATGATTTTTCTACAGAAAATTGGAAAAAAACGACTTCACAGAGTTTGGTAAGGTTGCTGTATCTCAGCTAAAAAAAGCTGCAAGGAACTTATTTTGTAGAGAACTGTTTGTTTTATCATTATATGTAATCTGAACAAAATTATATTTACCCGTTATAGGTGCTTAAAAACTAGCCTTTTGGTTTTCTAGAGTCCCTGTCTTTAGGAACCTGATAATAATTTATATTTTTGAAAATAGTTTTCTCTATTCAAATCATTATTTGTATTCTTTCTAACGCTTATGTCAGTAGAAAATAATTGAAAATAAACGTTGTTGAATAACTTTGGTACTTGCTGTTTATTTTTCTGTTATATTCGTTTTTTAAAATGCATGTTTAATAGTAAAACATCATGGCATATGTACTGTGAAGAATGTAATTTTAACTAAAAGGCTATTAATAAAATGACGCAACTTCTTTTAGATGATTTTCTTTTCGAAACCATTAATCTCTTCGTTCAACTCTTAACTGTTCTCTTCAAAGATCAGCAAATTGATTGAAATTTTAGCTGTCCGATTGATATATTTTCTGTTGAAATTTCACTATAAAGAAAAACTAGTTATTATCGTCTAATATAGATGATTTCTAAACGTTCTTTATCGGCTTTCAATCAATCTTTCTTGCTTCTTTTTCTTTTTTACGAATGATATTCAATAATGTCATCCTCTTATATGCCTGATACATTAGTACAGATATTGTTTACATATAAGCTAATAACTTTTTTCTTATCTATATCAATGTGTATACACAATCATCGAGTGTTGGTCTAATGTTATACTAAAAAGGAATGGTTGATTAGCCTTTTGTTGCTTATATTACTTTTCTTCTAAATGAGTAACTCGTTAAAATGTCGAAGAACATAACAAACAAACAATGATGGGTGGGCCATAATTAATGGCTGTGCTCTGCATACGAGTTTTTCATCATCAGATACGTTTCATTAAAAAAAAATCTACTGCAAGATATAGCATGAAAAGATCTACAATCTGGAAAGCGAAGTTTATTACATACATTCATATTTAGTTTTCGAAATAGAGAAAATTCTGTGTGATCGATATTTGATGCTGCGAACAAGATCGATTTTTTTGACGATAGCGTCTCCAACATAATAAATCAAAACATTGAGATTGGAACTTTTTGATAGTCATCTATAATTGCTTACAAAATGCATGAAATTCTTTTCATATTTTGTTAATAATTCCTAATGTTTATGCCGGATGGTGTTGCCTTGCTGATAGATGAAATCATCAACTAGTGGGTGTTGACCTTCAGCTTGTACATATGAAGGAAAAACTTCAACATCGTTTTCATGTGATTATGTTTTGTCAGATTTAAATATATTTGGAGATTCAAAATCATTTTTAGAAGCTCCTAAAAACATAATAATTCTTTGTTGGATAGAAGCACATGTCAATTAGTCTAAAACCAACCATTGATTATGCTCTTCAATATGGTTCTTTGATCGAAGAAATAAGAAAAGGAATTGGTTGTATACCAAAAACAAAACGATCTTATTCGTAACGTCGAAAATTAGTCATACAGAATTTTGACTCTTTTAAAAGTAAGAAAGTACACATCAAACAAGCATTGTGATGTGGATTATAGAACTCGTCATGTTGGATCTTGTGATATATCTTGTTTTTTTTAAAAAAATGCAATTGATGATATAAAAATAAACTCCAAAACGCGACCATACATTATGACATATCTATGACAATTCGTTTAGAATATGTTTATTTTATTACAAGTTGAACATATGATTTATTGTTCCAATGTTAAATTCCATTTTTGCAATAGAAGACATTGGTTCTTCTATCGTGACCAGCTTGTTGTCGTAATTTTTATTTAAAAATCTTTTTAAAGAAAAGCAAAGTGATTTTTTACGGACTTTTAAAGACCAGAGACAATGTTGGTCACAGTTTTTTAAGATTTTCAACTCGACATGTTGAGAAATATGCATTTTTTTATGTAAATATCCTAATTGAAGCTCTCACTTCTTTAAGAAATCAATTAATTAAATGGATCTTCTATTGTGGGTAGGAATCTACCCAACTATTATTAATTCATTCATATTTAACTAAAAAGCCTAATTTATATAACAATAGTCGATTAATAAATCTTCATTTAGATAATAGTAAAGAAATAAATTGAAATTATTCAACAGTTAAGTATGTTTGTGTAGCATTAAATTCATGCTTCTACGTACAGCATAGCAAAAATAATGATTTCGACAGATAATGTTTCACAAGAAAGACTTTATCAAGAAATTTGAGCCAGTAGCCATGCTTAATTACGTATAATCAATTTGTTTTGAACACATTTATTGAAACTATTTATCAATTAGATCGAACATCTGAAAACTACGTAAATAGCTTCAATACTTGATGAAACCATAACTTGATTTACTTTCTTGTAGGCTTTTATTTATCAAAACCACTGCTTTTGCTATATCCAAAGTAGGCTATATTAAACAAATTTAAATTATCCGACGTTTGAAATTTCCCAATTTAAGCCATAATGCAATTGAATATATAATAGAAGAACTTTTTTCCTATATAAATAATTTCCATAATTTAAAATACGTAA